TGCCAAGTACAAAGGCAGATTGATTGGAGAATGGCTTGAGAGCAGCCCTGAGGAGAAGGATTTGAGAGTGTCAGTTGATGAAAGACTCAACATTAGCTGGCAATGTGTGCTTGCAACCCAGAAGGCCAACCGTATCCTGGGTTGCGTCAATTAAAATGTGACCAGCAGGTCAAGGGAAATGCTTCTGCCCCTTTACTCTGTCTTGTGAGACCTTGCCTGGAGTACTGCATTCTTTGCTGGAGCCCCCAACACAAAAAAAGACATGAAGTAGTTGGAACAGGTCCAGAAGAGGGCCACAAAGATGATCAGAGGACTGGAGCACCTCTGCTATGATACCACACCGAGAGAGTTGAGCCTTTTCAGCTTGGAGAAGTCTCCTGCAGGACCGTATAACAGCCTTCCAGTATCTGAAGGAGGCCTACAAGAAAACTGTGGTGGGACTTGATATAATGCTACATAGTGACAGGACAAGGGGAAAAGATTATAACCTGAAAAAGAGTAGAATTAAACTAGATATAAGGAAGAAATTCTTTACTGTGAGGGTAGTGAGACACTTGAACAGGTTGCCCAGAGAGGCTCTTGATGTTCCAGTCCTGGCCTCCATCCAGGCCTGGCTGGATGGAGCTTTGAGCAACCTGGTCTAGAGGGAGGTGTTCCTGCCTATAGCAGGGGGGGGGTGGAACTAGATGATCTTAAAGGTCTCTTCCAACCCAAACCATTCTATGATTCTATGAAAGCAATTGGGAAAAGGTACACAAGCCTTCACCCTACAGAGAGGACTTTTATCAGCCATGAAAGGAAGATGTCCCTTCAGAGAAGACCTGATACTTTACCTAGGCAAGTGAATCACCAGGGATAAAGTTATTCAGCACATAATGGAATTGGCTGTGTCAGAGGTATGTATGACCTCAAGGGTGATCGGTTATCCCAAGATACAGACAACACCAAGTTCCCACAATCTGTACGGTAGAAATTTGTACAGAGCGCACCATCTTGTATGCAAGCAGTGGCAGCAGTGGTTTGGAAAGATAATGAAAATCCAGCAATAGATGAAGTGGCTAGTCTACTTTGACAATATGAAGGAAATCTCCCTTTCTAATCTGTAGAGAAACAGACCTGGGAGCTCCAGCAATTCAGAGACAGTATCTCTTATTCCCTATCTATATGGTATCCAGTATCTCAGCCATTAGAATTAAGCATTCCTGTTCTCAAGGGAGAGGGTATAGTGGGTATATACCGCATGCCACCTTCTAGTTTTACCTGCATGACTATGGAAAGGATATGAGAAAATGGGATATCAAATCCACCTTGACCCTAGAGGCAAGTATACAAGAGTTGTGAGGAAGAGCAGTTCAAATAGGGGATTCTTCAAGGAAAATGGCTGCTCTAATTTCCAGTGGACAGTCTCCTAGACAAAGAAGGTGATTTGATCCTATTTCTGAGTTGGGTAACAAGTCTTTGGTTTGCATTCATGAATACAATAACCAGAACCAGAGGGGCCCTATTTTCTAGTCATGTGGAGGAACGGGATAATCGGGTTTATTGGAATGTATGGATTTTATGGCTTGGCATATTAGAAGCATGAGAGTATAAGACTTTAGTGGATGCTAGTGCAGTTTACTCTAATGCCATCAAGTTATAAGGGAGTAGAACCCATCTGTATTTCTGGAGTAACAGGATCTCAAGCACTAAGTGCATTGGAGGCTGAAATAAGCCTAACTGGGAATGAGTGGCAAAAGCACCCCATTTTGTCCAGCTCAGAGACTGCATGCATCCTTGATACAGATTACCTCAGAGTAGGATACTTCAGGAATCCAAAAGGATACTGTTGGCCTTCAGTATGTAGTTCTTGCAGATGGAGGACATTTATTAGCTGTTCTTGACTTGCCCAGTCTTTCAGAGGACACTTTGCCAAGGGATTGTGAGAAGCAGGTGCGAGTTGTTACAGTGACAGTGCACTGATGGCAGTGTTGCACTGACTGGGACTACCTGATTCCCATCTGTATGCTGATTCATCAACTGGAGAGACAAAGAGTAATCAAAGCCAAACACTGGCTCACATTTAACAATCCTGTATGGCCAGTGCTAAAGTCCAGTGGAGAGTGAGGCTAACAATGGACTATCATGGCCTGAATGAAGTCACACCACCGTTAAGTGCTTCTGTGCCAGGCATGCTAGAACTTCAGTATGAACTGGAGCTAAGTAGTATTCTATAATTGATATCGCCTATGCATTTTTCTCAATCCCTTTGGCAGCAGAATGCAGGGCACAGTTTTGTTTCAATTGGAGGGGCATCTAGTACCTGGAGTCGACTACACCAGGGGTGGAAACAGAGTTGCTATGGTCTGATCCAGATTGCACTGGAACAGGGTAAGTTCCTGAACACCTGCAGTATGTTGATGACATCATAGTGTGGGGCAACACAGCAGAAGTTTTGAGAAAATAAACCAAATCCTTCTAAAGCTGGTTTTGACATGAAACAAAATAAGGGAACTGCACAGGAAACGCAGTTCTTAGGAATAAAATGGCAAGATAGATGTAATCAGATCCCTATGGATTTGATCAACAAAATAACTTAATCCACACCAACTAGAAAAAGGGAAACAAGCTTTCCTAGGTGTTGTGGGTTTTTGGAAAATGTATATTCTGGATTACAGTTCGACTGTAAATCGTCTCTTTCAAGTGACCCAGACGAAGAATGATTTTACATGAAGTCCTGAGCTACAACAAGCCTTTGAACAAATTTAACAGGAGGTGGTTCATGCTGCAGCCGTTGGACTGCTCCAGACAGGACAAGATGTAAAAAATGTGCGCTACACTGCAGCTGGGGAGAATGGCCCCGCTTGTAGCCTCTGGCAGAAATCACCAGGGGAGACTCAAGTTTGATCCCTAAAGGTTTCAAAGTCAGCGATAGAGGATCCAAATCTTGTTACAGTGAACACAAAAAATACACTGAGCAATACAGTCTGGGTTATTTCTGCGTTGGGGAAAGGCATGGTTGTCCAACCTTTTGGCTTGCATGGACCGCAATGAGTGAAGAGGAATCATCTTGAGCCTCGTATACGATATTGTTAAAGTATATACCTGACAAACCTTTTTTTATTTATTTGTATTTTTATGGAAGCATTTAAAACTAGAGCAACTAAAACATAAAACTAGTCAGATATTTAACTGTGTTTTTGTGAAACTAATGCATCCGGTTCATTGGAAGTATTTCAGTTCTTAGTGAGTTCTCCAGGTATTTTTCTTATTAGAGATTTTTTGATGAAATTCTGCTCTCCCTGTCCTTCACCCTTGAAAACAGTTTAGTAAGGGACATTTTTCTCTGATCACATGGGTCTTATACAAGTCTAGTAGAGAAAGATGATCAGATTTTTCTTTGAGTTGAATCTCTGATTGTTGTTCTATATGTTCAGTTTGAAAATTGACAAGTAATGTATTTATGTCAACTGAAAGTGGGATGTTCGGCAGGAAAGAGCTGCTGCCACAAAGGCATGGATCAGGGGCTGGACCATAGTATGAGCAGGGCCAAGCCACATGTGGCCCATGGGCTAGGAGTGTCTTGGGCATGTCTGGGCAAGCGCACACGGTCCTGGATTCACTTGTGGGTTATATGTAAGGATGGTGAAATCTGATATGTACCTTAAAGGAATTTGATGTTTGTTGAGAAGAGCCAGCAACCAGTAGTAGTACAGTAAGAATCAACTAGATTGAAGAAAAATGGATTCTAACCCTTTTCTCAAAACCATAACTGGCTTCAACATGCAATAATTCAGCACCATGCATCATCTGTTCTGCCCTGAAGGACTGTTACGATAGATGGAGCCCAAAGTCAGGAACGAAATGAACAATTCAGAGGGCTTGCCCATAGATTACTGGAATGATTCCCATGTGATTAATCAGGATGTATGGGAAAGTGTTGGACCTGAGCATGATGTGAATTTTACAGAGTAAGGGTGGATGTTGTCGTGGTTTCTGATGAGAATGTATTAATAGCACATCAGTATGCTACTGTTTCTGAGTGATTGGAAGACTTGACCAGACCGATCAGTGGAACAGCAGCTGCCATTATGGCATGGCAGCAGGCAACAAGGCTGCTAGCTTGAGTTAGGCAAGAGATTATTCCATTCCATGTGACGTTATGCAGAAAGGCTATCAAACTATGAGGAATTGTTTGGGGGTGGGCTGCTGCTTAGGGTTTGGCTGGACATTGGTCAGTGGGTGGTGAGACGTTGAGTTGCAAGTTGGCTGTTGGTTGGCAGGCATTTGTTTTGTTAGCTGGGCATCAATTGGCAGGTGAGTAATTACGTTGTGGATAAGTCTGTGTGTACTGGCTGATTCTAAAAACAGATAACTGAAACTGATAATGAGGGAGGAGGGGTAAGTTTTTCATGTTTCTTACCAACTTATTTGAAAAGATGATGCTGCTCATTGGTAAGTGTGAAATGCTGATGAGAGTCTAATGAAGTATTCACATTTCAGACACTGTAAACCACATGCAAGCGTTTTTGCCTTTTTGAAGGCAAAAGAAAAATTAATGTTTCTGTACATTAGAAAAAGAATTATATCAGGTATTGCTGTTCTGAGAAAGCCAGATCTAATAATAAAAGTGTTAAAATGGGTTAATAAAATAGTCAGTAAATAAAATTCCCACAACGTTTTAAAGTTATAGTTGTGGTTTTTTTCACTAACAGTCATTCAGAAGTCTAGCCATCCACAAGTGCATCAAGAAACTAGAAAAATCAGAGAAACAAAACAACAGAAAAAACCCATAAAGAACTATTCAGAATTTTACTAGAGTAAATTTAATAAATAAACTACGTTTAACTTTTGGAAAAGCTTGCATTTTGAGTACATATATAATAAAAAATCCAAGAGACGTATGCTTTTTTATGAAAGATAGAAAAAATGAGGAAAATAGTTGTCATTTACTCTCTTAATTAATATTATGTGCTTATATTGTATATAATCTTTCCCTTTTTTTTTTTTTTTTTGTATAGGAAAAGCATAAGCAGGAGTTAGAAGATATGAGAAAAGCTGGACATGAAGCCTTGAGTATTATTGTTGAAGAGTTCAAGGTAAATGAGTTAAGATGGTACATTCTGTGATTTTCCAGTGTCATATTATATAATAAATACGCACTACAGATGGTCTTGTTTATTACTTAGTTTTGGTTGCTCAGCCTCTTTTTGTTGGTTGCTTCCAGTTTAGACTGAAAGTTTGGCCTGAAATTTTACATAGCGTGTTTTCTCTCTCTGCACTTCAGTTAAAGGGGAAACTTCAGATAAAATATGTTAGCCATTTTCATTTGTGAAAATTAAATCTGGAATGAAAGAAAAATGCATAGACAATTGTGTTAAACTTTGATTTTGATTTTTAGCATGCATCTACGTTTTGGACCTCCTTGGCTATGACAAACTTCAAACTATAACCTCACAGGGCAATTGAGCAGGTTTTTTAAGTATTTTATTTATTTATGTTCACAGCACTAAGAAGAGGAGTTCGGGATAAAATAAGGTTCAATCTGTAACTCTTTTCATGTTGTTCCTATTTGCAGTGAGCCAGTAAGATACAGGAACACAACATTATTGTACAGGATCAATCTGTATCTTTTGTACTGCTATGAAAACATACTAATAAGAAATGCACAAAACTAAGGATTCTAATTAGACTTAATTGAGGTAAACAAGATGTGACTGGAAAAAACTGATTGTAGGAAATGGAAAATAGAGTTGTTGCTGAAAATGAGAAGGGAAATATGAGACAGCTGTCAGTCGGGAGCACCAAACTAGTAATGTCATTACTGAGATTTGGTTTGGAACTGGCAAAGCAAAAAAGGATGGGACTGAGACTATCATTTCATTCAGGTAGTAAACTGAAAGCTTAAGTGTAGATCCTGCTGGTCAAGAAACCTGCAGTGTTGCTGGGGAGGTTAGGCTGACTTGTTTGTTTTCAGGAAATATCAATCTCTTACTTTATAAAGTATTTATCTCTCTGGAAGTGTCAGGACCTGCAGCTTCAGGAGAGCCATCTGTACCAGCTTTCAAGTCTACTGCAAAATCTGAAACTAAATGCTATGCAAAAACTTTTTTTTTGTTTAATTAGATTTTGTGGGCCTTGTAGCTTCTCTTCCTTATGTGTAGGTTAGGCTTAACAAGTTTCAATCTTGAGAAAGGATCACTGTGTAGGGTACCTGATGATGCTTTTAGGAATAACTGCTTGAAAGAGGTCTGGTGCTCTATGCTTTTCTGAAGCCTAATACATAGACATGTTTGCAACAACTTATAAAAAGTTTTCCTTTTAATATATTTGCTGTTAATTGATAGCAGTGTTCTAGTCAACACTGAAACTGAACTATTTGTAGAAATGTGTCTGTTTTCTTTGACACAATTTATACTAATTTCATCAAAAGGGAACTTATTCTGAAAAAAGCTTCTGAAGCTTCCATTCCTAAGAGAAGCTAAGCATGTACAGTGATGTTGTACCATTTCCCCAGACATTTTTCATTTCACTTTAAGAGAAATGTTGCATTTCTTTTCCCTCTTACACTTCTGGGGTTTGCCTCACAATGGAATGACAAAATTGCAGGATGGCTGAGGTCAGTCATCTGAGAACTCTCTGTCCTGCTCCAACTCCTGCTTAAGCAGGGACAACCGAAGCAGGGTGCCCAGGCATGTGTCCCAGCAACTTTTGAAGAGAGACTCTGTGGACAACCTGTGCCAGTGCTTCATCACCCACACAACACAGAAGTGCTTCCTGATGTTCAGAGGGAACCTTCTGTGCTCAAGTTTGTGCTCATTGCCTCTTGTCCTTGCACTGGGCACCACTGAAAAGAGCCTGGCTCTGTCTTTTTTGCACTGTCCCTTCAGGTATTTATAGACATCACTCAGAGCCTCAAGTCTTCTCCAGGCCGAATAGGCCCATCTCTGTCAGCCTTTTTTTATGGGAGGGAAGAATGAGCATGTTCTTCGGGCTGACTGCTTTGGATGGGTCAATGAACACGTGCCATATTCTCAGCATTTTTCATTTCTGTTTTGACTAGCTGTGTATAAAATCTGTTTCCATGTGGCCTTACAGTTTGAAAAAAAGAAATTGGTGATCTATTGGTATTTACTACATTTATGTTTCTTCCTCTTTATTTTTGAAAATGTAAGCAAGTTGCGAAATGCACCTATTCTATTGTAGTGAATGAATAGATACCATTTTCCACCCTTTCAATGCCTTTGTGTGAGCTAAAGAAGAGTTTTGCATGGATGACAGGAGGAATTATTTAAGGAATCTCTTCATTTTTAGCTGGGTAAAATGATACATATATGTATAATTTTTTGAGAATTATTTTACAAGTCAAAAGCAACTGTGAAACTCTAATATACCATCTTGAAAAAAGGATTTAAATTTTTCAGTTTCTATGATTTGGCACAAAAGATTAGGTATTTAATTCAATACAGTGATTCTTAGCAATGTTTAGCATGCTATTTCTCATAGACTGTTAGTCTTCAAGTTATATAAATATATTCTAATCATCATAGAATGGCCTGGGTTGAAAAGGACTCAAAGATCATCTAGTTTCAAGCCCCCTGCCATGGGCAGGGTCGCCAACCACTCGACCAGGCTCTCCAGAGCCTCATCCAGCCTGGGCTTGAATGCCTCCAGGGTTGGGGCTTTCACAACCTCCTTGGGCAACTTGTTCCAGTGCTTCACAACCCTCTGAGTGAAAAACTTCCTCCTACTATCTAACGTAAATCTCTCCTGTCTCAGTTTAAAACCGTTCCCCTTTGTTCTATCACTGTTCACCCTCATAACTGCCTTCACTTCATGTACTGGAAGGCCACAATGAGCTCTTCCCTGAGCCTTCTCTTTTCCAAGCTAAACAAGCCCTGTTTCCTCAACTTTTCCTCATAGGAAAGGTGCTTCAGCCCTGTAATCATCTTTGTGGCCCTCCTCTGGACTTGTTCCAAGAGCTCTGTGTCTCTCTTGTACTGGGGGCCCCAGGCCTAGATGCAGTACTCCAGATGGGGCCTCACAAGAGCCAAGTTGAGGGAGACTATCACTTCCCTCTCTCTGCTGGCCACCCCTTTTTTTAATGCAGCCCAGAACACAGTTGGCCTTCCGGGCTGCAAGAGCACACTGCTGGCTTATGTCCAGCTTCTTGTCCACCAGGACTCCCTGGACCTTCTCTGCAGGGCTGCTCTCAAGGAGTTCTTCCCTCAGTTTGTATAAACTTCTGGGATTGCCCCAGCCCAAGTGTAACACCTTGCACTTGGCCTTGTGGAACCTTATTACGTTCACATTGGCCCACTTCTCCAGCCTGTCTAGATCCCTCTGGATGGTTTCCCTTCCCTCCAGTATATTGACTGCACCGCTCAGCTTGGTGTCATCCGCAGACTTGCTGAGGGTGCACTCAATTCCTTCATGTCGTTATAAAAATGTTGAAGAGCACTGGTCCCAAGACTGAGTCTTGGAGGACACTGCTTGTGACTGGCCTCCACCCTTACACAGAACCACTGATCACAACCCTTTGGCTGCGGCCAGCCAACCAATTCTTAATCCACTGAGCAGTCCATCCTTAAATCCATGCCTCTCCAATTTAGAGAGAAGGATGTGGTGAGGGACCATGTCAAAGGCTTTGCAGAAGTCCAGGTAGATGACATCCATTGCCCTTCCCCTGTCCACTGATGCCGCTACTCCATCATAGATGGCCACCAGATTGGTCAGGCAAACATTCCCTTGGTGAAGCCATGCTGGCTGACTTGAATAATCTCTTTGTCTTGTATGTGCCTTAACATAGCTTCTAGGAGGATCTGTTCTATGATCTTCTCAGGCACAGAGGTGACACTCACCAGCCTATAGTCCCTGGGTCATCCTTTCTCCCTTTCTAAAAATGGGAGCAATGTTTCCCTTTTTTCAGTCACTGGGGACTTCACCGGACAGCCTTAAGTTTTTCAGATATGATGGGTAGCAGCTCAGCAGCCACATCAGCTATCTCGCTCAGAGCCCTAGGATGGATATCATTCAGACCCATGGACTTACATACATTCAGATTCTTGAAGAGGTCTCGGACTTGTTCCACTGTTATAGTGGGATGGAATCTGCTCCTCTCATCCACACCTAGAGCTTCAGGGTCCTGGTGGATATTTGGAGGAGCCTGACCACTAGTGAAAACTGTAGCAAAGCACTTTTTGAGCACCTCAGCTTTTTCCATGTCTGAGAAAGCCAGCTCTCCGTTCTCATTTATCAGAGAGGGAACACTCTCCTTGATATGTCTCCTCCTGCTTATGTACCTGTAGAACCCCTTCTTGTTATTTTTCACGTCCCTTGCCAAGTTCAGCTTTATCTATGCCTTGGCTTTCCTGATCTTATTTCTACACGTGTGGATGACGTCCCTATATTCTTCCCAGGCTACGCAACCACTGTACATATCTCTGTTTTCCCTCAGTTGAAGCTGCAGGTCCTTGCTTAGCTGCCGCCTCTGCTCAATTTCTTCTGCTGTGGGATGGAGAGCTCTTGTGGTCTCCGGTGTGTCCTTAAAGAGATGCCAGCTCTGTTCTGTTCCTATGCTCTCAAAGACACTTTCCCAGGAAATCCCATCCAGCAGTTCCTTGAGCAGCCAGAAGTTTGCTCTCCTGAAGCACGGGGTTCTGATGCTACTTTTTGCCAGGCCTACATTCCTCCAGATCGCAAACTCCCCCTGGGCATGATCACTGCAGCCCAGGCTGCCTCCAGTCTTAACCTCTCTGATGCTTTCCTCCGCATTGGTGGGCACCAATGCGTATGCACCACTAAGGCTTCACCTTAGGTCTTTTCGTCTAATACCTGGGCCAGGAAGTTATCCTCACCAGACTCCAGGAATCTGGATTGTCTGCCACCCACTGTGCTGCTATCCCAGCAGATATCCAGTGGTTGATATCCCCCAACAGGACAAGAGCCCTCAAGTGTGACATCTCCTGCAGCTGAAGCAAAAAAGCTTCGTCAACAGGCTCTGCCTGATCAGGTGGCTTGTAGCAGACCCCAGCCACTGGATGCCCTTTATTGGACCAATCCCTCATTTTCACCCATAAACTCTCAACCTGTTCATGGC